CGCGTCGGACTGCCTGCCTTCGCTGTGGAGCCACCGGTGTTCTGTTGCAGAGTTAGTTCGTCTGGCCGCCCACAAGCGTTATTTGATTAACCTTCGCTAATAGTGGAAGAAGCGGTCGAGTGGTTTCTGGACCTCAGCTTTTGGAAGAATAGCATAGTTGTATTTGTAAGGTGCTTCAGCTAATAATTCTGCTGGATTCCAGTGGGTGCTGCACTCATGGGTTGGTCCATTCACACTCGGATAACCTGATGGTGGATAATAGTTATTACATATTCAAAATGCCCAAAAACCACTCCTCAAACTCCAGAGTTCATTACATCCCAGAAGTTCAGGGTGAATAAAAGGAGGAGCTTGTTTTTGAGATATGTTTTGTCAGCAGGAGAGTTAGTGTGCGTTTTGAATTTTCTTAGCAGCAGTTCTCTTGTAGTCACTGGAACTTGGATTCTAAGACTAGTGATTTGAAATCTGGACAGAAATACTGGAAACATGGAATTACACTATCGACTTAAAAGAAAAAAAACCCAAATGCTTGTGGATTTCCTACATCAAACTGACTTTTTTTCTGTGCTGTTTAGTTCTTCAACTTGTTGTATACCTTTTGGTAGGTTGTAGTGCTGCAGGCCTTTAAACTGGTCATGCAACCAAAACCAGCCCTTCCCTTACTTATTAGTTGAGTATATGCGTGGCTGTGAAAAGACTATTTACCCAAAATGTTGGGGCTTCATGTCTTTTTCTTCCAAATTTGTGGTCGTAGTGAAGGATCAGCTGGTGTGCATTTGTTTGGGGGTTTTTTTGAAAAAAAAGATTACTGCAGTGAGATAAAAGCAGGCCATGTGTATACACTTGTGTAACTTCAGCCTTGCTTTCCTGTGATGGTGCTGTGTGTGGGATGAAAATGACCACAAAGAGATGAGGTAGACGTGAGTCCACATGAAAGGATATGGGACTGGTTTTGTTGCAACAGTGCAAATGTAAAGTCACATTAAATTATATTGTGAGTGACATTTATTAAGTTCTAGGTACAAAATTAAGATACTTAATAGGTAAGTATACTTCTTGGCAGGTCTAATGTAATGTTTCCCAACTTCTCTTTTAAAGAAACTGAAGAAGTTTTTAAAGTGAAGAAATCAAGTTACAGCAAAAAGATTGTAAAACAATTGAAGAAAGAATACAAAGAAGATCTTGAAAAATCAAAAGTTAGGACGGAGGTCAATTCTCCAACAGATGGTAACGCAAAACTAACAGTAACTTTTGTAATGGAAAAGATTGAGCGTTGTAAATACAAAGTACTCGTTTTTGAGATTAATTGTTAGTCTTTTTAGAGGGTTTAGAACTGAAGTAAAGCATGCATGAAGTGTGTTCTATCTGAACCTTACAAATGCTGTTCTGAAGCTGGTAGAGAGTTCTTTGATTCTCTCTCACATGGAAGTGAATGTAGAAGGATGAAACTTCTCAGCTACTTATACGTTTGTCAGTAGACCTCTAGTTTCTGTATTTCAGCTCTGTTTGTCGGATGAGTTTCTTCCTATTGAATCAGGAAGGAATTAAATTAGTTTAGAACTGTGTCTGGTCCTCATCTAACAGGATGTGTCCATGTAATGCGTTTTCTCAAAAAGGAAGATTTTTGGGGTGAACAGAGTTGTGTCCTTTGTTATTACATAAATTGCTCAACAGCTGCCTGTTTCAGGACTTGGACCTTAGAGTAGATTTGATGATTAAGATTACAGGATGAAAGTGTTGGAGAAGAAAGATCTTTTAACAATGTACAGTCCTCCAGAGCTTGGAATAGAGCCTGGGATTTCAATTTCATTGCACTTCTGTTGTTGGTTTTTGCAAAGCTCATTGGTAAAGCATAATGATTCTTTTTCCAGTTAGGTTTGTGTGTAGAGTAGTAACCTGCAATGCTACGAGCACAAGCTGAGAGGCTTATGGCCTAAAGATTGCAGCGGTATAGCTGAAGCATATGAGAGTTGAACATGGTCCCATGCAGAAGATTGCCCTTTTTTAAATGAATTAAATTAGTCTTTTAAAAATCTTAAAGATTTTAAAAGGATTTGTCTGCGTTTAAAAACCACACAAATTCTTTCTCGTTAGAATCTTTGTCTATGCAGTGGTATAGGGCATGAGCAAAACCAGAAATTATAATTTCTGTGGTTAATGTTCAGGTAGTCTATAGAAACCTGGGTCTTAATGTTTGCTTCTGTCACAGACATCCTTGAAAAATTGCATTTTACACATGGCTAGTGTGTGCTTATTTTCTGTTTGTCTGTTTTTCAGTCTCTGTAGTGGATGTGGTTGTAGTGCAAAGACCCCGTGTCTGCTATGGAGTCAGTAGTCTGGATTCTCTAAATAAATGCTAAGGTCTAAAAACTCAGACATGCGCAACTTGGATTGGGTAGCTGTGTTTAACATGCATTTTTTTACACAACATTTGTCCCTGCTGCCTGTATCTGTATGTTACCCACCTAATGTAGGGTAATGTTGCACCCAGCCCAAGAGGAAAATGAAAAGGTTCTTTTGAAATGAGTCGGTTCTTGTGGAAAGGTTTGGTGTAACACAGGCAATGCTTTATAATTACGTAAGTGAGAGGCTGTGTAAAGGTTGCACATATGATCTTAATTATTGAGTTCCCTCACTTTTCTTAGTGCTTGGCAATGTGGAAAATGTTTAGTGGTTGTTGGGGTGTCTGCTTTATCAAATTTTATTTTGAGAGGATGTCAGTGACTTAATCACAGTTTTGAAGACATATTTTACTAGATCTCCCACAATACAATTATCATTTAACGTGTTAGTTTGATTTTTGCTTTTGATTGTTAGAACTTAAAAAAGTACTTCCGAGTGATCTTGATAAAGAGAGTAAAACATGGACTTTGTTGTCTTACCAGTCGAACCACCACTAGAAAAGACAGGACAGATTAAGGATATAGGTCAAGAAGATGGGACTGCAAACAGTGAGCATGGTGAAGAAGAAATGGAAGTTGAAAGTGAGAAGGAAGAAGAAAAACCAAAAGCTGGTGGGGCTTTTTCAAGTGCTCTGTCATCACTGAATGTTCTCCGCCCAGGTTGGTTATTGTAATATGTCTGATATGTTGACAAATGCTTTAGGCAGCGTTTACAGCAGGCTAATATATTTGAGAGATTAGGAAATACTTTCTAGCAACATATCCAGCATCCAAGAATTCAGGAAACTGCTGTTTTACAAAATTGTTCAATTTTACAAGCCTTGTGAGAGAAAGTGTTTTACTGCAGAATGCTTCATCTTGATGTCAGAAGCAGGAATTTGTCTCTCAAAGTGAGGACAAACTGTAAGAAAATGTAGATTTGGAATAGGTGACTTAATACGAATTTTAACTGCTTTCAGTTAAAATTCTGTCTTAAGTTCAAATGTCTCAGTGACAGGTCTGCAATGTATCTCAAATGTTTTCTTATCTCAGTTTGCGTAACGAAGTTCTAGTCAGGCCCTGAGGCCAAAGAAATCAGTCTGAGAAAGTATTTTTGAAACTAGTTTACTAATTGTTAGCTAACTCGTGGTAGCCTGCTCCCCAAATACAAGATGGATGTCCTGGGTCCACAGACTTGGCCGTATTTCAAGAGAAAAAGAATTTCCTAGTTGACTCCCAAATAATTTTTCCTTTCAGGGGCAATTGCAACGTGATGCAATATGTACTTTATTGCATCTCTAAAAATATTGCTGGCGTGAATAAAGTGTCTCATGTTAAGTATAAATAGAATCTGAAATTTAACTTTTTGCATGGGCCTAATCAAAGCGGTGGTAGAAGTTATTCATGTTTCAAAAAATTGATTTTTGGGGGCTATTCTTTATATGACTTAACGTAAGTTGCATTAATTTTGTTCTAGATATTTTAGATTTTTTTAATTAGGTCTGCTTTACTTGTTTTCCCTCGATGATACAGTCTTCTTATACTAGCTTTGTCCGGTTTGGTGTCCTCTTAATCTCTGAGTTGTTGTCATCTGGTGAAATGGCCGAAGTTTTTTGTTCCCCCGAAATAGGAAGGGTTGGGAGCAATATCAGGAAAGGAAGTGACACAGTCAAGAACCTAAATTTCTTCCTCCCTTTTGAACAGTCGGCTGCTGTAAAGGGCTTCCTTTTCTTCAGGAATACTTCCCATGGGAACACCAGGCTCCTGCTCTTATGGCACATGAGCTGTTGGAAGCAGAGCCAAACTTTTTGGGAAAGATCCCAGCTTTGAGGGTTTCTGGTCAGAACGTTTGCATGTGCAGCTTGTAAGTTGCTTGCAAATGTTTCTGTGAATATGGATTTTTTTCTGTTTGCAAAGATGATTTGATAGGATGGCAGAGATGAGTGATAAGAAGTCATAATACTCGTGTTATTGCAGTGGTTGTTTAACGGTGCAAACATCTATCTCTAGGAGAAATTCCAGATGCTGCTTTTATTCATGCCGCTAGGAAAAAGCGTCAAATGGCTCGTGAACTTGGAGACTTTACCCCCGTTGACAGTGAACCAGGTAAAGGCCGCCTTGTTCGAGAAGATGAAAATGATGCCAGTGATGATGAAGATGATGACGAGAAGAGGAGGATAGTTTTTACAGTGAAGGAAAAATCCCAAAGGCAAAAGATTGCTGAGGAAATAGGTAAAACATTTTAGGACAGCTGATAAACTTTCACACTGTTTTCACTCCAAGTGCTCCCATTCAACATTTTTAAAACAACACTTTTTTCAAACAGGCATTAATCTGGAGCTATATTCAATTTCTAAGGAAAAGTACTGCATAATGGAACCACCGTATAAAATCTTTTGCACAAAGTATGTTTCTGTGCTTAGAAGCACACAACTCTGCTGAATCTAGTAGAAACTTACACTAAGGATGAATTAGTATTGTTCCTGTAATTTGTTTTTTAGGAAGTATATACTTGTGGAAAGAAAAACGTCAGTTCTTTGGTATAGCATTCTTCTTGCTGTCAAGCAGGTAAAATAATCTTTTGGAAAAGGAAAGTTAGTAAGATACATAGGATTTTAACATTAGAGTGTTTTACCAGCAGTTAATTGCAAATTTACCCAGTGGATTTTTTTGGTGGAACCTCTGTGATAATAATTCACAGGGTAGTGTCCTTAATTCCTCATGAAGAGGAAAGGAGGATGCACTGAGATGTTCCCACCGAAGCATGGTCTCTCAGGTTTTTTAATTCATGGCCCTCACTATGAGTAAGTTATCTTCTACTTTTTGTTACCTGTCTGTTTTACTCGTATTAAGGTATTGAGGGAAGCGATGATGAAGCGCTGGTGGCAGGGGAGCAAGATGAAGAACTCAGTAGATGGGAGCAAGAACAGATACGGAAAGGAATCAACATACCTCAGGCATGTATTTAGTTCTGAACTCTTTGTTTTGTTTCTGCATATATTGGCTAAATTCATTACAAACTTTAGTAGTTTACTGCGCGTTGTTATATCTGAGAAGTTCAGCGTGTAACTTCTGAAATTCTTTTAAAGATAAATGGGGGGTCAGATTTTAAGCATCCGGTGGTACCCGTTTCATTAGTCTCTCTCTTCTGGGTAGATACTGGTTGTTTGTGGTGCTGTTAAGCAGCATTTATTTGCAACCTAAGACAGATCTAGAACCGTGCCAGTTTGAAGAAACCTCTCTTGTTGTGTTGGTGGAGTCCATGTAAACAGTGTGTGTTTCTTTGTTGTTTCTGTATCTTGTGTTGCAGTGTGGAGTTGGAATTTGTAGCAGGTTGTACCATATGTGTCTCTCTATTCATAGTGAAGTTGCCACTCAGTTGAAGAGGATAGGGGTTCTTTTAAGAAACGTTTCAGCAAAATCACGTTCAAACACACTAACTTTAAGAACCTATGTTATTCTGTTAGTCTTAGAAAATTTAGTGTAGTCCCAAGCACTTGATTGTTGTAGGAGTTACAGGCTGGTTAAAATTGTCATTTAACAACTTGTTATAAGCATAAATATTGAGTGATAATGATGCTAAGAGTTTGTCCATTTAAGTAGGTGCTTCTGAGGGAATTTGTTTCTTCCACCTTAGGTGTTTGAAGTTCTACACTTAAATCCACTTGATAATTACGTACCTGCCTACATTTTTCACTTTATAACATTTGAAATGTGAAAGAAAAGAAATTTCTGCTGTCTTTAAAGTCTAATATAGTACAATTTCATTTCCTCTTCCATTAGGTTCAACCAAGTCAGCCTGCTGAAGTGAATAATCTGTACTACCAGAACACTTACCAGACACTGTCTTATGGTTCATCATATGGCATTCCATACACTTATGCTGCATATGGATCATCGGAAACCAAGTCTCAAAAAACAGATAATACAGTTCCTTTCAAAACTCCCAGTAATGAGATGACTCCTGTTACTATTGATTTGGTAAAGAAACAGCTTAAAGACAGGTAGGACAGACCATCTTTTTAGACTTAAAGACCTGTCCCCTAGCTTTCTGTTCCTCAGGCGTCTTTTAGTCTCGGTGAGCAAACACAGAGTTTCATCGCTGGAAAAGTACTGACTGGCACATCCATTAAAAAAAAAATAAAAAGGCAAACAAAAAAAAGCTCAAAGTGAAGATGACACTGACACTTTGTTCGAAAATCTCCTTGGATTGCTTCTCTGGAAGTGAAGCTTTAAATATGAGGCCATTGATCTTGTTGAAGACAGGTCTGAATTGCATCTTCTGGACACTGCACAGTCTTATAGTCAAGAATTGAAAGGCCAGTGAGGTGTTTAGCTTGTCAAGTTGCATTCTTTTAAACCAAATCAGATTTTCCCCCTTCAGTAGATAAAGAATTTAAATTTTAGTGTATATAGGGTGTGGTGTTTTTTTTGTGTAAACATTGTAATCTGCTTGTCAGGTACGCAAAAGGTCCTACTGAATGAACAACCCAATTGCAGTGAGAAATCATTTGTAATGAACAACTTGCACTTTACATGTCTTCAGAATTGGTTTGTATGCCCCTTGTAGCGTTACAGCCTTTGACAGTGAATTGAGTTAGTAGAGGAATAGGACTGCTCTGTATAAGCTATAGTTCTTTCCCCTAGCCCATGCCCCACCCCACTCCCCCAACCTTTTCTCCCAGTTTTACTTTAGGGACAGCCTTGCACTATTCTAAGTGATAGCAACTCCTGTAAAAAATTGTGGGAGTGAGCAGTGCAATGCAGTTAACATAGTCTAGCAAATTGATTTAAACTGTTAGCCTTGCTGTTCATGTAGAGAGGGGAGAAAGTGACAGAGAATGTGTCTTTGCAGCATTTCACATATATACACTTGGTACTTGCACTGTCTGTTTAATATCTCAGCGGTCTGAAATATATAGACTTTTGGATGTAAATTTGCTATTTATCCGTTGCCCTTCAGGTTGGACTCTATGAAAGAATTGCACAAAGCTAATCGGCAGCAATATGAGAAACATCAGCAAAGCCGAGAGGACTCTACCAAGGCAATTGAAAGATTAGAAGGGTCTTCTGGGGGTATTGGTGAACAGTATAAGTTTTTGCAAGAAATGCGAGGGTATGTCCAAGACTTGCTTGAGTGTTTCAGTGAAAAGGTAAGGATGCAAAAACATTCATCTTTTTTCAAAAAAAAAAAAAAACAACCACAAAACAAAACAAATAGGGACTCTTAGTACATGCCAAACACCGCTTCTCCCTCTGTTTTCAAAAAAAGTCCCCTGAGAACATACTCTTCTAAAGGTTTGGTTATTCCAGGGTTGAAAAGATAACTTTTCATCATGCCAAGTTGGTTATCAGAAACCTCTCTTTCACAGTGTAAGAGATCACTGACTTCAGATTGCCCCAAAAAACTTTTAGATTATATGTCTTTAGGATTTCAGTAGATATTATGTCATTTCGACTTTACTCACACGCTGCTTTTTTGCTTGTGTTGGATATGTGGTTAACAAAAAGAAGGGCTGAATTACAACATGCTAGTTTCTGGAATGCTTTATGAACACCGTAACAAAGACTGGTATTTTGTGTGGTGTTGTAAACTTCCTCCTGCCAGGCAGTTTCACATACTTGGTATTGCTCTAGTGTCTGAAGGAGAAAAGTTTTAAAGCTAGTGTAGCTGTCTGAAGACACACCCAAACTTAAAAATATACTTGTTTCATATAGTGTGATACTTTTGTACTTACCCAACTTGAAAACTTAGTCTTTCTTTCTTATGTTATTCATTACATTTTGATTACTTACTTCGTTGTAAATATAACAGGAGCTCCTGAATATGTATATATTTGTTTATATATATATTACACACGCATAGGAGCTGTAAAACTCAGTTAGCACTACATAAGCTATTTCTTCGTTGTCCTCCGACTTGAATACAATAGTATAGTATCTTCTTAATACATTAGCTGTCAGAATTACTTGAGTAGTTGAAGCTGCCGCTTACCTAGCTTGTTAGGTGTGGGAGAGGAATAGAAAAGCATTCCGGCTGCTAATCGGTTAGACGTTAATTGTCCAGCATTGGTGGGGTTGGGAGAGTCCCATCTTCAGTCCTATAAGTTGAAGAATAGCTGTCTTGTGAACAAACCGAGGAAGTGTAGACCAGTTAATTCACCCAGCTAATTGATTAGTTACAGTAGATAGCGTTTACTGAAGAAGCAGTGTTCCTGAGTCTGTACTGGCATTAGCTGTTGAGGGGTAGTAAAGGTACTTCCTTTGCAGCTCTGTCAGTGCTGGTTGCTCAGATGCCTAAATTTCTCCTTAAAGATAACTTCTTATATTCTTGCTCTGAGATAAATTTTTATTTCAGAAAACAAGTTAAATACCTATATCTATTCAGCATTTGTTTTCTAAAGACCTCCTGTTAAATTACTTTTGTGATAACTGTAAGCTATGGCTGGAGATTCACTTTGACGGTTCGTGCTGTCTTGTTCACATATTTCGTCTAAACAAATTGTTTTAGAATGCACCGTTCTGAGTATAAACCAAGCCTTTTAGTCTCCCAGATATTGTGTAAAGCAGGAAAACTTACTGTTGAGTAACAGTTTAACAATTTCAGTTCCATTTGTAGGAAGATTGTTGACCTATCTAGCTATACTAGTAAATAAATCAATTCCAGCTATTATACAGCAAATTAGCTGCTGATAATTTAACAGGCTTGTTAAAGTTGCTTTCTTACAATATAAGTTTGCTTTCCTGGTGGTTGGACTTTGAAGGATTCTACACTGGGCCACCTTCCTGTCCCTTCCCCCCCATCCCCATCCCCCCCCTGCCATGCCAGTCCATTGAACTTTTAAGGTGTGATTTTTATCATCTCATGCTTCTTAGGGGCATTCACAGATTTTTGCTGTTTTCAGTTGGAGGCTGCTGCAGTACCTGTATGCACAATGAGTTGCAAAATTAGGATGTGACACAATCAGTTTAACAGGAGCATTGCATTTATTATGGTGCCCTATATATTCCTCAGTTCCTTGGCCAGATAATCTGTTTTGGAATTCAGTGCTTGCAGCGTGCAAAAGTGCTATCAAATTCAAAAACAGTAGCCCACGGGATACTGCATGGTTTTCTAAAAAGGAGGCGGGAGGGAGGGGACAAAATGAAGTAATAAAATCAGTATCAGTTTTTATTTAAATGAAATAATGAAATGCAGCAGGACAGTAAATTCTTCTTAAGTGTAGATGTAAATTACCTCTCAGATTTTTTGTAGAACCTCTGGTCCTGACTACTTCATATTTAAAGCGTGTGTGTGTTTGTAATATATAATGTGTGTAGTAGTTATGGTTATAAAATACATAAACATATACAATGTGTATCCATATGTGTAATAACAATATTGTGTGTGTGTATGTATGTGTGTGTATATATATACACACACATATATATGAACACATACTCTAAATGTGTATAAAGCTAGGTTCCTCCCTATCCTTTCAAATATGATGCTTTGATGCTTTCTCTTTATTTTATTGGACTAGCCATGGTTATTAGTCAAATTCACATGAGTATTGTTCTGAATGAGAAAGTGGTTTGCTGAAGATGCATGAATGGATTTGCAATATACTTGTCCACTCCGAAAGAGTCCATTCCCCTAGAGTTTGCTTGTATGTCTGTTGACTTCGTTTTGGAGAACAAACATCATTGTAAATTAGACTTGCTTCCCTCTGCCATCTTATTTCTGCACCTGTTCACCATGCTTAACCCTTCGTGAACCCCAGCCAGGCAAAACCATTTTGTTTATATTCTGTTTTGAAGAGATTCTGAGTGTTAGAAACCCTTGCTCATTTGTAAGTTGCAGTGGAGAGTATAATGAGGCAGCTATTATGCAAATATTAGACACAAGCAGTAGAAATGTCAAATCCTCTATATTTTTTTTTCCCATAAATGATAAAACCAATGGAGTGGAAGATGCTTGCATGGCTTCCTTCACAAGTAATTACTGTCAAAATTATGCTTTCTGAGAAGGCTAGAAAGTGGTAACGGTGTCTTTACATTTTGCATGTAGGAATATGCAAGGGATACGGAAAGATCAAATTGTTCCGAGCGTATCTTTGACAGCACAGTTAGATGAATTGTTATTTTACCTGCAAAAGCATATTATCAAAACACACTGTGTGTCAGAGAGGTGGACTGTAGGTGAAAATTATCCTTGTCATCTAAATATTCAGAGAGCTTTCCACTTTTCCTCTTAGACTGTGAACAGTGTAAGAGAAGGAAAAAAAAGCTAAACACTGAATTTAAGATATGAACTAAACAAAACATGATGAATCAGGGCTGTAACTTTATAGTAGTCGGTGAAATTGTCAGCCACTCATCAACCACAGTATTGATTATGGAAGAATAATGGCTTCTAAGTCTGTTTTTTAAGGCAGAAATACTTTGAGTGGATTTGTGTATCTGAATACATAGCTGTTTTTTTTTTTTTAATCCTGAGGCAATTATAGAAAGAACCTCTAGAGTTGCTTTGAAAATTTTTCATTTAACTTTTCAATTTTAGAATTCCCTTTACACAGCAAAGAGAAGCAGCTGTGTTTTCTATGGTAAACTGCCATAAAACTAGTATTTTTAAAATTATTATTTCTGTTTTCGAAATTGTCTTAAATTCCAAATATACACTTCCAGCGCTGGGATATTCCCTCCTATTTCTCTCTACTCTATTTTCTTGATAAGAAAGTTGTACATTTTGAGTTCGTGCAGAGTTGCTTTCATTTTAATCCCTGTAGCCCAGTTTATGCCACAGAGAGCTAATTCTTCTTTCCTTTAAATATCTCCTCTGATGCGTGTGTCATTCTCAGCTGAAATGGCCTTGTAGCTATAATCTCTAAATCTTGTATTTTACTGGAGGATGTCCTTCAATAGCTGCTGAGTCACATTCTAAATTACATCAGGAGACAATTTCTGATTTTATCTTTGGTTTTGAAAAAAACTTAATCCTGGATGGTAGGCAGCAATGAGCTGAAAGGCTGGAAGACTGTGGACTAAGCATATGTCTTGGAGGTAAGGAGGATATGGCTTAAGTGTTCATACCAAAAGGACTTGCCTTTCCAAATTAAGAGTTTGTGAAAAGTTCTGTTTTGCATTTGAATGTTCATAATCTAATTTTAATTTGTCCCAGGAAATGAATTTTTGCAACAGTGAGCAGTGAATCTGCTATTTAATGTCAGGAAATTCCTAGTTGTTACAACATCATTTATTTTTGTTACAGTTGCTACTGAAATTTAGTCCACTTAAAAAATACAAACAAATAAAAAACAGTGGCAGCTCTGATCTGACTTAAGTCTGTATTGTTCAAAGGTTATACTTAATGCATAACTCTCACGAATTGTACAATTTTAATGTTAATGGTAGGCTTGATTAACACTTCGCTGATTTGAATTACCTATTGGCATAACCTGCTTATGCAGTGTTTTATTGCATTTCAGTAATAATATTTCAGCATATGCAAATAAGAGTTAGAGCAAAACAATACCTGCTGGCTTCAGGAGGTTAGATTCATGCTTTGTTTTTCCACTGTATACAGTCAGGTTATCTTCTCATCAAAGTGTAGAATACTAGTATATTCTTGTTTAAAGACAGAACTAGTGAGGTCCGAGAATTGTAAGCACTGTAACACAGTCTGTAATGTACTTGGTAGAGAAAACGAGCACTTGAAATAACATCTCACAGTCTAAAATGGTTGTCTTACTGTGTAGACTCATTCGATCAAGAGAGGTTACTTTCAGAATGCTATTGCTATGGTTGAAAGCTGTCAACGTTGTTAAATGCATGCGTTTTCTTCAGGTTGAAATATTTACTGGTCCAAATGATACAAACGGGTAAAAGGAAACAGTTTGCGCTGCTAAAAGTACAGTGACAGCATTATGCTTCGGAATAGTATGGTACCCCAGAAACTAAGCACCTGAAGAATTTGGTATTACGTAGTGTGTTGTATTTTTACAGGTGCCTCTGATTAACGAACTTGAATCTGCAATGCACCAGCTGTACAAACAGCGAGCTTCCCGCCTTGTCCAAAGACGACAAGATGATATTAAAGATGAATCTTCGGAGTTTTCAAGCCATTCAAGTCAGTCCATCTTGAAGGTTTTTATTATTCATTAAACAACCTTGTTTACTTAGTATGGCTTAATTTAAACGTAAATGTTTAAAGTATGACTGTCTTAAAGTTTATCCTTACTCTTGAGATGGGCAGAAGCAAGCTGAGATAAAAGTTCTCTAATCTGTTTTGTTTTAAACTCAAAGCCACTCTAACTTTGACTTCATCTCTCCTTTCTGTTGCTCTTAACTGTATTGTCTCTTTCCTAGCACTGAAAAAGTATGAATGGTGGCAGTGGTAATAGTGGTAGCATGTTTCTCCTGATTTTTCCCTTATATCAGGACTTTTTTTTTTCCCCCAACCTCCTTGAATCCCTGTAACATCTACAGTTAACTCTGTACAAATCCATGAAGCACTGGGCTAGAGATGGCTTCTAATGCTCTGTTGTGTGGGCAGCATAAATATTTAATTTCAGACACTTCACTGGTAGAGCTACAGAACTGGAAGAGGCTGGTGCCATTGTTAAAAATCAGACTAATACAAAGTGACTCTATATGAAATACAGCTTAAAATTAGCCAGTTAAAATACCTGCTAACTGTGAGTGTTTGGATGGGGGATTCTCATTAAAGAGTAATCACCACAAGGAAACTCAGTGTGCAAAACTCTACGAAAGTATATATGTTAATTTGGATGGAAATACACGTTCCTTGGAGGAGGCTTTATCAGCATGCTAAACAACGGGTAAAATATCATATTAATAGTAGTGATCTTTCTGCTTTGGAGAGCTTCGCTTTTTTGTCTGTCCTATTGCTGACCTAAAATCCTATAATAAAAGCCATTTTCTATTTTGTCACAGCATGTCCAGAGATGAAATTCTGATAGTACCATTACATAGAACTCACTGAGGGTGATAAAGCATTAGGCCATCAGAGCTGGTCATCCCTTTACGGAGTGGTTAGCGCTAATATTCCCTTTAGCACTTTATTTGGAGCCCCAGGCATCACATGTACGCCTTGCAGTTTTACCATGAAAATGCTGTTGTGAGATTCTAATGTGCTAGGAACATATTTCCTAAAAGAAGCTTAGAATGGATTATTTTAGACTGGAATTTAATGGTGGGGTGGGAATAGTTATCATTGACAAGGTTAGGTTTTAAAGAGAGATCTTATTTCGTATCTGTGAATCTTGAGAATGAATTTCACTGAGTCTAGAAATATTTCAGTTCTGTCCCTCAAGTTATCACAGAAACTAGGAACTGATGCCAGCCTTTGGTTTAACGTGTGTCGCGGACAGACAATCTGCTTCTCTTCATAAAGTATCAGAACACTAAAGGGCTAGAAAATTTAAGTTTATCTGCCAACTTTTGCGTTACTTCTGCATAAAGCCAAGTAGCTTAGCTTCAAATAACATTTTAAAAAATTGGACAAATGATAGTTTCCTCTGTATGTTAAGGCTCTTAGTAGTTCTGGTATAGAATTGGAATACTGACATAGATCATCATCAATATTTTTAATGATGAGTTTGTAAATAGATTTAGGTGGAACATATAAACTTACTCCTGAAATTTGGGTAGGCTTTTGTTTAAATTTTGATGTTTATATTGAAGTGGGTGTACTTGAGAACTGGCTAACATTCAGTCTACTTTTAAAAAATTTACCTGAAAAGGATGAACTGGAAACTCTCTTGGGTCTGCCTGCTGGTTGCTGATCAGCTTCACTGGTTAGCTGTGTTGTTTTCTATAATCAGGACCATCTGTGATGAATCGCAGCTTTAAAAGAAGAGGGAAGATGTTTTATTTTCCTGTAGATTTTAATGTGTTTTAAACTTTAGGCAATCTAAAGTGTACAAACGTGGATAACACTATGACTGGAACTATGAAACAGCATGTATTCCTGCTCCAGTCACTCTTCTCTGCCTTTGTTCATTTTTTTGTTTTCTGAAAGATACATGGTGAACATGTTTATGTAAGGATCACTTTTTGTTTTGTAACATTCAGTTTAAGCAATTTCTCTTAAAACCTGTTGACTTTTATGTAGTTGAGCACTGTTAGGAGAGGGACAAGAGTGAAGTATGGTGAAAACTATTTGACATTTAAGTGAAGATTTTTCCTAACTCCACCACTTCCTCTTTTAACCTCTACGTTTGCGAATTCACACTTCTGGGTGCATCTTTTTGAAAACTTCGACTTTCTACTTCAAATTACACTTATTTTAAAGTAGGTAAAAGGCTCTTGTGAAGCTGCCTACAACGCATTTATATAATCATAGATAAGCTTTTTAATTTTCATCAATGTAATTTTACAGATAAAGCACTGATGGCACCAAATCTTGAATCTTTTGGACGAGACAGAGTGATCTATCAAGAACAAGTAAAGCGTCGGACTGCAGAAAGAGAGGCTAGAAGGTAGAGTACTGAGATTTATTGTCCATTAGGAGTCTTTGCCTGCTTGCAGAATACAGTTGTCCTATGTGACATGCTAACATAAGTAGCAATGTTTGCTCCTTTCCTGCAAAGGGAAGAAAACACTTAAGCTGCTGTGCTGGGCAGGGCTATGCTTATATATCCCAGCTTATCATAGAAGTGTACAAAACAAGGCACCATTACATGATACTGATTTAAAATCACTAAAAGCATAGTAAACCCATTCCATATCTGTATGGTCTCTGCTGGTTTCTCTTCCTTTCATTGTTTGAGGCAGCAAGATAGTGGAACATTTGAGGTGGTGGCATAGTGAAAGTTTTTTTCAACCTGGATTTCCTTGCGTTAAAAGTTAGGACAAGCTTAAGTGGGTCTGTTCATTGTATATGGAGTTGAAAAAAAAAAAGGTAATAGCTGGTTTATACTACTGATCCTTTTCAGAGCTCGTCGTAGACAAGCAAGAGAGCAAACTGGGAAGATGGCAGATCACCTTGAAGGCCTTTCCAGCGATGATGAGGAAACTTCAATGGATATTACAAACTTCAACATGGAGCGAGGTTAGAAAAGCTACTGAAGCTTTATGTAACAAAATACAGAAAATTTGGCGAAAAAAAATTGATCCAAATGCAGCCTTGTCCATATATTTCACCATGTTTTGGAGAAAACAGGAACTGTTCCTTGCTATCAGTGTGAGCTCTTTTGCCAACCTGTTGTGCAGTTAGCTAAATACCCCATCCTTAGTGAGATTCTTTTTATTTAATTAAAACATTCTTTTGCTGGCCAGCAGTAAGCTTTTGTACCTTCACTAGATACTAAGTCTTCCTTGTAATTTGTAATGTGGTTTACCATTCTTCAAATATCTGTTTGTTTTACACGTAAAATCCTGAAAACCTCAGTGCTTTAGAAACCTTTTTTTGCTTGATAGGAAGTATTTTCTGGAGTTTTGCGTAAGCATCTAGAAATGCAATGACATAAGTTTTGTAGACTTGTTACAGCCTGTCAAACTTTGCAGGTGGCAGAAAACAATGCTGAATGCAAACACTGCAGAAAGATCTTGCGGTACTGACTTGATTTGAAATTCATCCACAGTTTTATGGTGTTTTGCTCAAAGTAACCATTACTATGCCATTATGCATAACCCTGATGATGCAATAAACGGGGTTGTAAGTTAAGCTAATGCCTCTAAAGCACTGGGAGAACTGCAAGAAACCAGAGACTTGGGGAAGTATAGATAGTTTGATGGAACAGTCATCTTTTACAGCAGCAATTAAAAGGCAAACAATTCCAGCAGTTACTGTGAAACCAGTAATGAAGAAAGTAGAACATCACTGAAGTAATCCTTTTACCTTCTGAGTGCAATTACCATTCTTTCTCATTAAAGAGAATTTAATCAGATTAGAAGAAATATGAAGAAGGGGAGCAGCAAGGATCACATACATAGAATTGTTTATGTTGTATGTGAGGAGGGATTAAACAGTTTTGGACTCTTCAGCTAGGAGAACGATGTTGACTTGTCACAGTGTGAGGGCTAGAGGGCATGAAATGAAGTGGCAGGATAGATTTAAAGTAAACAAGTCACTTCCCACAGACAGTGTAATAAAAATGCTAAAGTCATTGCTGTAGGTGGTTGTGGAGACTCAAAGTGTGAACAGATGAAAAAAGCAATTAGATGAACTGTCTAGCAGTTGGATCCCTCGGAAGTGCAAACAGTTTCCACACCTTTAGTTGCTGGCTGATTTACCAAAATTGTGGATGCCAGGAGAGCTCTTTGATAAACAAACCAACTGTTTAAGGTTGTTACATGCTATAATTAACCACTAAGTTAAATTATCTAGATTAAAAATTAGTGTGGCTGAATTGCTCTTTGTAACTTGGCACTTTCATGTCTACAAAATCCTTTTGTAGGTGTTCCATCAGTTTCTGAGCTTTTTTTTTTTATCATTGGTAGCTCCCCTGTTAGTCCAAGGGATCATAATGGCTGCCCAGTGCTAACAGCCATGTTATGTTCAGCAGTTCAGCATTGTGTCTGCCAGGACCTGCTCTGTCTGAAGTGCCGATTCAGCTGGCTTATCTGAGATGCCCTCCTGTACTTGCACTTGGATAGGCAATGCTGTAGAATAATTTGGGTTGGAAGGGACAGGGAGATCAGCTGTCCCAAACTCCCATGCAGAGGAAGGCCAGCTTTGAAATTAGATCCATACTGAATACAGCCCAATACATCACCAGTCCAGTGTCTGGTAACTGAAAATCATTGTATGAAGTGTTTAAAGCGAGACCTGTGATAAAACAGTATATCAGAGAGTACTCGTATGGTCATGTTTTTATTGCTTTGTGTATTTGAGGCAGCAGTAACAGAACTTTTAAAAGGTGGTGGTTTTTTGATTTTGTTTATAGGAGTTAGCTTATGCCAGTGAGCATCAAATTCCATCTTGACAGAGGTATTACAGGGAATAGGTGATAAATTTACTACTCTTTTTCTCCCCCACCAGATCGTATATTGAAAGAATCCAGCAAAGTTTTTGAAGATGTTTTGGAAAGCTTTTACTCAATTGATTGTATAAAGTCACAATTTGAAGCTTGGCGTTCAAAATACTTTGCTTCTTATAAGGATGCTTATATTGGCCTCTGTTTACCAAAGCTGTTTAACCCTTTAATCAGACTTCAGCTGCTTATCTGGACTCCTTTGGAGGTAAGGTCCTCTGCAAGCAACTTCTGTGTAAGCTTCCATATAGTGGTTCTTTCACACTTCTGCAGAGCAAAGTAAATTGTCCCTTTAATGTGTGCCGCTTATAAATGCGTGTGTTGGCTCTTGCTGGGGAATGGGAGTGGGTCAAGGCACAGAGTGAGTGCAGTTGCATAAGCTTGCTTGGGTTTATTTTGGGTGTTTTTAGGAAACTGAGCTAATAAGGCAGATTGTCGTCTCTTCCCTTTCAAAACTTAGCTCATCTGCAGCACTGTCTGCAGATGTGTCAGCCTATCTCACAAATGACTGGATCTCTCCTTTTTTCAGAAGTGTTTTTTTTCTTAATTACAGAGAATATTTGTAAAGGGGATCTTCTGTCCCCTCTGCTCTGACTGCATAGGAGGGGAAGCATGAGTCTTCTTCAGAGAGCATTCAGAGTATTTATTTTGAATACGTGAGGGAAAAATCTGTGAAAGGTGTCCTCATTAAATTTAGATGTGTTTTTGTACGTTCTTCCTTCCCCCATGCTATTTCTCTGTGAGTTCTCAAGCTGGCAAAACAAATCTCAAGTTAGTTGGAGACATGGTGTACAGAATTCTTAAATCTGATTGTTTTCACTACTCTGTGTTACTGGTTTTGTTAAGCATTTTGCTAAGTTACAAAAATTACAAGGCATTCATGAAAAGAGGTTTTTAATCCAGAAAGCGTAGTTATATAATGCAGTACAAATAAACTCTACTTCTCACTTTTACCCTATTCTGTGGCCTTTTATTTGGCTCAAGTATAATTAGGAGTTAAAATCTGTAGGGCAACAGCTGCCAAAAAAAGCGGTCTTACTTCCACTGTTTTCACTTCATTAGGTCTAGTGGTTGTAGAGTGAATTGCTTCATTTGGCTGATTTGTGGAAAATTGACCTTGCTGCCCATCCTCTCTCAGATTTTGGTTGGATTGGGCTGTCCACATACACGAATCTGACCTGTGATGGCATGATTAGTAGTGTTCAGGCAGAGGCAGAACATTTTCTTCACTTCTCAGGAATCAGGCTTGCCTGTGGTTCTGAGAGAAGTAGTATCCCTGCTTCAGAAGTAGGGAGCCAAAGCAGGTGAAGTAATTCGCCCATCCTTGAGCTATATTAAGAGACTGTTGGTCTTGAGGCACTATATCTTTTTTATTGTTATTTCCAGTGCAGAGGAGTACCTGACACAGTGACAAAAAGGGCTAGATTCTTGAGTTGTTATTGTGCTCAAGTGCTGCTTACCCTGCCTGCTTAGCACACCTGGTAGACTGTTTTAAAGTAGTTTGTCTGTTTTGTGAGTGTATCATACTTGCATATATAATATTTTTCTTTGCGTTGACTTCAAATCTCTGTTTAGGAATCTAACCTCAACTGTTTTTTTATTAGGGCAAGTGTCGAGATTTTGAGACGATGTTGTGGTTTGAATCATTGCTGTTTTATGGCTGTGAAGAACAGGAGCAAGTGAAAGATGATGCTGATATTTCACTATTGCCTACCATTGTAGAGAGAGTTGTTCTTCCTAAATTAACAGGTATAGTCTTAGAAAGAAAATGGAGGAAAAGGGGGGGGATGTGGAAGCTGAGGTTTGTTTGTGCTTGCAGATTTTACTATTTTGTAAATTATTGCCCGACTGTCTTAGTACCTGTATTTGACTATTTGCAGAGTGGAGTAATTCTTTAATCTCTTACAGTGATTTCTGAAAATATATGGGATCCTTTTTCTACAACACAAACATCTAGAATGGTAGCAATTGTACAGAAACTAGTAGATGGATATCCTTCAGTGGTGAATGCAGAAAACAAAAATACCCAAGTAAGTTTTTTTTTTCTTAAATATCATGCATAAGTGAAGGAATTTGAATATATTTTGAATACTCTATATTGGAGAACACAGCATGCTTAGTGAGGAGCAAGAAAGAGAATTTTGCAATTATTTGATGCTCTGCAGCCTAGTTATGGAGAGTCAAGTACGGTGATAAATTAGGAGGAACTCCGTGAAGTCTCCCCAAAATAGATGCTGGAGATAAAAAGGAATACCAAATCTACAAAGACTTGTTGGCCTGCAGTTTTTCTGTAAGGGTTAGCTACAAATAGTCAGTTTTTTCTTTTTTAGATCTTTGTAACCTTTTCAAATGTATTGCCTTGAAATTTGTTTTACCTGTCTTCTATGAATTTGAGAACCGATGTCATGAGTTCAGGTTCTGTAGCTAACGCAGTGTATGCATTGCCTTTAGAATAATGGGAGATAGGCCAAAGTGCATGTGTATGGGAAAGTTAGCAGAAGATTAAAGGTGATAAAAGCCCTGACTTCACAGAAGCTAGTTGTGTAGCCAAGTTTAATCATAAAGTCATTCCATTGCCTTCAGTTTTTATTGAAAGTGTCAAATTTCAGCTGTTAATTATTATAGGCTTCTCTTAGACTTTATTTATATGTGTGCTTAAGTATGTATACCTTTTACTGTTAGGTTCACAACTGTTCTTTGTTGCTTTGAAAAATCGATTTCTAAGTGGTTAACTACTAAAGCAGTGCTTTGGACACTTTAAAAAAAAATTTAATCTGTTTCAGATGCTTTTAAAGGCACTTTTGCTAAGAATGAGGAGAACACTAGATGATGATGTATTCATGCCCTTATATCCAAAAAAGTAAGTTTGTGATTCTGTGATTAAAAAAAGTCTGTGATTCTGTGATTCTGTGATTTTACTTTCAACTATGGTGTTAGGTCTGTATTAGCAAGTCTGTGTCTTCTGTCCATAGTTAACAGGGTTTTTTCTCAGCATGGTTCACTAGCTGGATACAGGCGATCTTTCCGTATCATGCTGTGAGGATTTAGCAGACACAAGCAGGATGGAAGGGAATATTTATAGAATTGAACTGTGAGTGGGAAGGAGGAAGCCAGTAAACTCCAGACAGAGGTGGTCTTGGTTGCTCATTAAAGAAATCTCTTACTTTCCAGCATCTTAGAAAACAAGAACTCTGGTCCATATTTGTTTTTCCAACGTCAGTTTTGGTCCTCTGTTAAGGTAAGTCAGTAAATACATCCAGTAAATCTTTGGTTTAGACAGTGCAACAATAAAATCCTCTTCAAATTCGTGAAATGTGGTAGATGGAAATTGCTTTAACTTTATTTGAAAGAACTCTAAATTAGTTAGTCTTAGTCTTAGAAAGCCTTTGTCTTTGATAATGCACTGTGCCCTCTTCAAAAGAACTTGTACATTTTGGGTTTACTTAGCATACTCAGCCCGGGTTTTTTTAATGACATTGTGCTTGTCAGAATAAAATATGCTGCTTTTATTTTGCTTATGTGGGAATGAGAGAGCTTGGTTTGTGGGGTTTTTTTCATATATAGTGTGAGAATCTTCATGAAAATAACTTGGGCCCTTTTGGAAAGCTCACTGCTATTTGTAAAGTATAAGAGCATTTGTAATCTTAGTTTAATTGAAATGATAAAGAGTGTGAAAGAAAAATTCCCTGTGTGTGGAATGTGCAATACAGAGTTTGCAAAGGCCTGTAAGAAGCTATGACTGTTACAGTTTATTTCCAATAAAAGGCTGTGAAGAAAATTAACTCCGAACTAAATAGGAAGGTAAAATCTGAGACCCATGTTGATTGAGCTGCTGAGCTCCACGATCAGAACTCTTACCTGGAATTTTCTATTTAAATTGCAGTAGTGAGGGAGACTGCATTCTGAATAGGATTGCAATCACTTCATTTACTTAATGTATTTGGTACTGAATTCTTTCACTTTGAAATAAAAGTCAGGTTCTTAAATGCTGTCTAGAGCAAAAAATGCATAAAGCTCATGTCTTAAAATGTTAAAAATGAAATAGATAGCTTATTTAGGGCTTGTGTCTCCTTTGAGAGTGGAATTGCCTGCTCTTGGCGGTATCTGTCAGAGCCTGGGAAGTTCAGCAGTATGCATGCTGTTAACACTGTTTTATTTTAGGGAAGCATTAAAAATACAGCGCTCTCGTGCTAGCAAGTCAGTTGTAGCATCACAGACGAGCAGAAATAGAAGTGGGGAGGCAAGCGCTGGTTTACTGTTTCCTGATGATCTGCCTCACCAGTAAACTGCTGGCGGCGTTCCTTTGCACGAGGCTGGCAGGAATTCTCCCCAGGCCGTACGCCGCTGGGGAGCAGCAGCTGCACAAGGGGCCGAGCCAGCGCTCCCCCGGGACACCGTCTGCGCCTCCGCTGTCACCGTGCCGTGGAAATAAGGGAGTGCTGGCGGCGTAGCTGGGGATTTCATCGACAAAGGGGGCTGTGGGTTTGCGCCCGTATGCCAGGTCTCACTTGGCTTGAGGTTGACATCAAATTTTGAGAATGAGGTGGCTTAAAACTTTAATTCCTTTTTTCTGATTTCTTGTGCAAAGCACGAGGAAAGTTGAGGTGGTGGTCGTTGTGTAAGGATACGTGACACTCTATGCTGGTACTTTATGGATTCCGAATAGTTTTGAAGCTAACAGAAGGCATATTTCCACTGCTTACCTTGGCCGTGCGGTTGCATTTGGAGAGGCCCTAGGGTGTTTGATCAACTTCGTGGTTTCAGTACATTTTGAAATACTTATTTTCCCTGTGTTGTATTTTCAGTTATTAGGAAACTTTCTCCAGTGGTATGGAATCCTTTCAAACAAAACTCTCCAGGAACTGTCAATAGATGGTCTGCTAAATAGATACATTCTTATGGCTTTTCAAAACTCTGAGTATGGAGAGGACAGCATTAAGAAAGCTCAAAGTGTAAGTAAAATCAATGTATAAAATTGCTTGTAATTCACAAGCTTCAGCTGAAGGAAGAATGTAGTTAAAACTTGAGGTTACCTATGAAATCTTGGCTTTGATACCTCAAAATTGTAATGTCAATGAAAAACATTTAATTTTTTTAAAAATACACAAACTAAAGAAAGAATCTTCTCTAGCTCATATTTGTAGGTGGTTTAGATATAGTGTAGTTTTCAGTGTTTTACTGCTTGCATTTTGGAATTTACGGGTTTTTTTAGGTTTCTCACTGTTTCACTCAGTTGGGCTTTGTCACTGCAATCTTACCTGGCAAACTTCACAAAGCATGTTGGATAGCTTTTACAATTTTGTTATGTTGTGTTTAACTTTCTTTTTCCTGTTATGTCTAGGTAATTGCTTGCTTTCCTAAACAGTGGTTTGCTAATCTAAAAGGAGACAAGACCATTTCTCAGCTAGAAAACTTCTGTAGATACCTTGTTCATCTGGCTGATACAATTTATAGAAACAGCATTGGTTGCTCTGACGTAGAGAAAAGAAATGCAAGGTAACTTATCTTGAGTCAATGCAGTTGCAGTTCTCGTGCTTTGTGTTCTTTTTCTGATGCATGCAAACATGGGTAAATGTCTCCATACTGCTGCATGCCTTTTGAAACTTCTTTGAATTCAAACTTTAAAAATGTTACCGTATGTTAGATGGAGAGATTTTTAAGTGTCTGAAAACAGCAACTGCTGGAAATCTTTAAACATTCATGATGTATTTTGCACTGCTGCTTACTGTCACTGGTTCTGGCAAATTTTGTAGCTACTGGTTTTGGACTGTTCCACCTTGTGAGCCTCTTGGCGATTCCTGCGTAATGGCTTCTAAGTTACAGCCTGTGTTTTTGTATACAGTACAAAAGTTCGGATTTCATGTACGCAGTCAGCTAGATGAACCTGTTTTCCCTTAGATCAAAGAGTTGTTTTACTCGTGCGATCTGCTGGTCTGATAACCAGCGTAATTAAAAGTTCATATTGGCTGCATAAATGTTACTGCTGGCCAAGTAACCTGAAATGTTATGGGTGTATTGTTTTAAGCAACGATAAACTTAAAAACCAAATTGTTGCACTGATACGCAGGAATATAACAAGACTGGAAGATTGTTTATTCCTGTGCTGCTGCATGAGGTGGAGAGGTTTCAAGGTCAATAGTTCTGTTGTTGCAGCAAACCTGACACTTGGAAAGATGAACGCCCTCGCTACCTGCATTAGTCATTCTTGATAGCTGGACTTGCTTGAGCCATTGTTGAGGCACTCGCCAATTATTGAGGCTCTCTAGGGTGTCTGATGCTTATCCCTTTTTTATCTTATGCATAGCACTGAAACAGAGAGACAGAAGTTTCCCTTAAACCATAGCAGAGGAATCTTGGTTAAGAGGTTTGGGGTTTTTTTTCTGGTATCAAATTTTTTTCCAGTTACCACATTGGTTATTAGACACTTTTCTGTCTTTGGAATCACTCTTGGCTGTGGCATATGAATTGTCTCGTTTTCAGAGAACACAGAGCTTTGTGCCACACTGGGTTGTGCTCAGACAATTTTTTATCCACTCTCAGGTTATGCCTCAGAACTTTGTGTCCAAAGTATAACGGTAGTGTCACATACCAATTTAAATTTCCCCATGATTCAAATTCAAAATAGACTTGTTATTCCTTGCCTTCTAAAACCAAAATGCCTAAGCCTAGCATGATGCTGGAATTGAAATGAAGGAGTTGAGAGAGAATCCAGCAGAGATTAAACTCTATCTCTTTTGGTAGCCTGTTTCTAAATTTGAAAGAACTTTCTTTACCGGCTGAAAGGATAACTTGGTAAAACTTTGTATTGGAAGGGAAACATCCAATTAATCCTTTTTTTTTCATAGTGAATTCTAGTTTAATTTCTATCTTCTGTCCTCCTCCTTTTTCCTGGCATTTAACAAATCTGTTGCCGTTGCCCCATTAAACAGATTTTTAAGATTAATTTTGAACTTCTAGTATTTTTTGAGAGACTGGTCTAAATTGCGTGTCCATCCTCCTAGCCAGACACCAAAATTGTTCTTGACAGCCAAAGAAGTACAGTCCTCCTAGCAGTTTGTTCACTCTAAGCTTCCTAGATTGACCTGAGCTGTAGGGCAGTTCCTTGGTGGCAAGCTCCGTACCTTTTTAATGCATGCATTAAAGCGTACTTGCTACCTTGAATTTTTTTTTTTTCTTTTCATTTGGCTTAAACATAGTTACCAAGAGAGAGGTGACTCATTTCACAGTAATCCAAGACTTTTTCTTGAGATTATACTGCATCTAGTATTAAACCATATTGTATGATGAATTCCTACTCCCAAAATAAATTTTTCAGTTCCAGTACAAAGCTGATAATGAGCTTATTTTATCAGACTAAGCAAGTGGAGGAGATGATGATGTGAAGTTATCTGAATCCGATTGGCTATATGGATTCATAATGTAGTCTTCTGTTGAAATATTAATACTTGTACATGATTGTTCCATTCCTGTATTGACTTCTCCTTCCTCTGTTTTAGGGAGCACATAAAGCAGATCATAAAGCTTCTAGCAAGTATCCAAGCACTGGATCATGCTGTGACAGTTGCGAATGATCACAACGTAAAAGAGTTAAAGATTTTAATAGAAGGAAAATAGACTTTTCCGACAACTCATTTTGAGCTTTAAAACCATTCCTGATGTGTAATTTATGTACATATGTAAAGTTTCTTAAACTGTAAAGTATTGATCTTTGTTTTAATACAAAGTGCATTCTTATATACAGCATCCTTTAAAAAAAAAACACGTCATCTTTGAAAACAAAAAATAGAATCCCAAGATTGTCATCTTGCCAGAAATCAGATTTTCCTTGAAGAGTCTCAAAATCTTGTTTACAAAAATACTTTGTACCCATGATTAGTAGTCATCTACTCCTGTTAATTGTTCCATGGTTAACTGGAATGTGTATAATATATTATGTGGAATACAATGTATGCATATATTTATACCACCATGTTGCTTTCACACTGGATATAGAGATCTTGTACTGTTGGAATAAGCTTTTCATTTGCTAAAAAATACTTATTTTGACAACGAAATGATCATATTACTGGTCAAAAGGGCTGGAAAAATATTCAAATATTTGAAAATCATTTGAGCTAAAGAGTAGAGACACTTTCAAATGGAACCTGACCTTTAAAAAAAGCAGATGTGCTGCACTCAAATTGGAATAGCAAAAAAAATCATTTGCATTCAGAATATGGAACTCTTAAGACTGTTCTTAGAAATAAAACAGAAAGGAAAACCCAAATCAATGCTTAGTTGTTATTTTTTTTTAATACAGGCATACAACCAGAATTTGTGATTATTGTGCAGCTATACATGACAGCGCTTCCTAAGCCCCAGACACCTTTCATTTTGTAGGAGTAATAGTTTACCTATGAACTCTGGACCCTTGTTCCTCATGCAAGTTGGTAAAATGCACTGTTTGTGTTTTTGTTTGTGGGTTGATTTTTTTTGTAAGTTCATACACGGAACCTGTTTATTCTGATTGGTATGGCTAAAGATACCAAGCAAAATGAAGGTGAAGAAAACTTTATGTCCTATAATTTGAACTATTTATATTGTAGTAAATATTCAAATGTTACACTACCCACTAAATACTATCTAAGAATTGTCTTGCAAAAAAAAGCATTTAATTTAAATGTAAATCAAAAGAAAACACTTTAAAAATCTGGTAATTTACATTGGAACACTAGTGACTTGATCGTGGGGTCTGAGGCGTGGGAACAGCTGTAATAGCTCTGAGTCCAAGGCTATTTCCAGGTGTGCCCTACTTTTTTCGGGGAACTGTAGCAATAAATTGGCATACTGAGTGACATAAGAAATCATTGCATTTTATGCTCATATCATGTGGTATAAATTAGTATTAAAAATGTACAATTTGTAACATGCACACTTCATTTGGACACTGAACAATTGTTTTTCTGAACTGTTGGGATTGATGGATTACATTCAGAAATATCTGCTTTTAAAAATTGTTTCAATAAACTCGTCTGTCAAGGAGCTGTTGCAGTGCAACTCTTTAAGCTTTATTCCATTAGGAAGGTGGTAAAGGAAATGTCACGCGTGCTGGCTGACTATTTCGATGTCAGAAAGAAAAAACCATCCTCAGAAGGTGGATTTTTGTGGTGAACAAAAGTGTCTTTGAAAAAGCAATACATACTGGAATTCATAAAGAGTAATTAAGATATTATGGAAGGTTATCATGCTGGTAGTTACATGATTTAATAGTGACAGATTTGATCTTTTCTGTGCTTGAAATTTTACTGATTTTAGTATTTTGTTAGACTGAAGAGGACACAAATAATCCATGGTGCCAACATTTCTAAAAGAGTATTTATTTGTACTCAAGTGACTTAATCATTGGAGAGATTTGAAGTTGTAGAAGGTTTGGTTGAGGGAGGGAGTAAGAAAAAAAATAGGCAAATGGAGTTTTTTTTAGTGAGGAGGAACAATCATGCCTGACCAATCTGATAGCTTTCTGTGATGGCATGACTGGCTGGGTAGATGAAGGGAGAGCTGTGGATGTTGTATACCTCGACTTCAGCAAGGCTTTCGACACGGTCTCCCATAACATCCTCCTAGGGAAGCTCAGGAAGTGTGGGCTGGATGAGTGATCAGTGAAGTGGATTGAGAACTGGCTGAATGGCAGAACTCAGAGGGTTGTCATCAGCGGCACTGAGTCTAGTTGGAGGCTGGTAACTAGCAGTGTCCCCCAGGGGTCAGTACTGGGCCCAGTCTTGTTTAACTTCTTCATCAATGACCGGATGAAGAGTTAGACTGTACCCTCAGCAAGTTTGCTGATGACACAAAACTGGGAGGAGTAGCAGATGCACCAGAAGGCTGTGTTGCCATTAAGCGTGACCTGGACAGGCTGGAAAGTTGGGCAGAGAGGAACCTGATGAGGTTCAACAAAGGCAAATGCAGGGTCCTGCACCTGGGGAGGAACAACCTCATGCACCAGTACAGGCTTGGGGTGGACCTGCTGGAGAGCAGCTCTGCGGAGAGGGACCTGGG